GGACGCGCGAGCGGTGGCGGCGCGAAGCTCTCAGGGCTGAGGCGCGCCCGAAAGTGCGTGAGTGCAGCCCCCGGGTGTTTTGCTCTGTTTTCCCGACGCCGGGGTGCGGCGGCGGCGAAGCGTGCTCTGGGCGAGGATACCCTCCGGGGGCGGGGAAGGGCTTCCGAGCGTCGTCTCTGACCGGCTCTCCTCCTCGTTACTTCCCTGGAGCGTGAGCGTTTCCCGAAGGAAAGGGGCCACCCCACTGCGCGAGGGGCGAGTGACCGACTCGGGGGCTGCCTGGGTCACCCCAGCCTAGGCCCGCGGGGTGACGGGGCGCCTTGGGCAGTTTAGATAAGAGGTCATTTGGCCCAGAGCGGGTTGTTTTTAAATGAATGACCTTCGGGTTCTCCCTGCACGTGGTTCTGTTTATTTCCTGTGCAAAGTGTAGGGCGTTTTTCCTAAGAGCCGCTCGAAACAAGAACCGGGAAGGATTTGAAGCAATTCCTGGGTAAAGTTATTTCTTGCAGATGAAGGTCGCTGAGGCCAAGCAAGGCTCATAAAGTTACTGCCCAAGGTCAAAAACTGTGGCAACCCCTAGCACAACCTTCAGAATTTGTCTCCTCCCCAAATGAGGAAACACTGGCAACTTGGACCAACAGAAAACTAGAAGAAATTAAGCAATTTAAGAAATCAGGCTCCTCCCAAAGCCTAACTGAGTACTCCATGATTTTAGGACCCCAAACCCTGTTTTAGCATAACATGGCATGACATGCTTTAAAATTACTGGCACCATTTCTTATCTCGGAATTCTAATTTTAGAATGCTCTATCCCAAGTCATTGATTGAATGTATTACTAATAAATATTACTAACTGAGCTAGTTTTTGTGGGTTAGTGTTGTTATCCCTGTTGGAACAGAAATCCAGGTTGTGAAATAGTTATGATATTCCCAGCTCCAACTCCCTGGTAATAAGATAAACAGGTAAGTGTTGACTTCATATATCTCTGAAGCCGTTTGGTATGGAAGTAAGCTTTTGTTTTAAATTATTTTCAACCAAACTACTGTTTATGATACAAAACCCCAGTCCATTCAACTAGGATTGATGGGGATAAGGAGGTGTTAATACAAGTTACCTGAAAATGGTGGGCCTCTAGGGGAGAGGACTTGCTCAAGCTCTCACTCACCAACGCCTCCTAGGGAGGAGGAGGAATTCTGTGGATGTGGCAGAACAGGCTGGACTGTGCTCCATGAGTCACGGCGCTGTAAGAGACTTTGCCACGGAGCTTGGCTCTCCCCTAGTACTTCTCTTGCAAGCTGCGTAAGAGTAAGAAGGCCCTGTTCCTCTTTACCTTCAGACAGGTGTAGTACCTACCTACCTGTTCTGATCTGACATAACTATCTCCTTTCAACTCACTTATATAATCTGGCTTCTAGGTAGGACTAGACCAAGCTGTATGCCAACCTTTGGGGCAAAATCGCTTGCCACCTACCTCTCTGATTACATATCCTTTCATGCTGGCAACTGTGTTGGAATTAAGTTTTTCTGTGAAGCTTTTTAGGTGTAACTAGTTTGGGGAAATGTGCTTCGTCTATTTGAGTCAAATCTACCAGATCCCAATAAATAACAACATTGCATTGTCCTTCTTTGCCAGTTTTCTTTCAGCTTTTATTGCCATCTGAGCCTTATGAGGAAGTGATTAACAGCTTTGAGTGTCATAATTCCTAGTAAAATGACAATTCTTACTTAACCCAGGACTGTCTAAACTTCTTAGCCCACAGTCACTAGAAAAAAAGCTGTCAATGGGGATTGTTCCTCCCACCCCTTGCCGACCACTCACATCCACATTCTCAGAATGACTGGGGGGAGGGAGGGGGCTTTTTTAGTCCCTAACTCATTTGGCTCTTTACAAAGAACAGAAACCTCCATGACTTCATTGCAAGGTTAAGGAGCAGTCCCAGGTCCCTGCTGCACTTAATTGTTCACCAACTGCAAATCCAAGGAGACCTATTTCTCCCAAAGGCTAAAATAAACTTAAATGTCTGAATGTCAATATAAAATAATAAAGATAAACTGCCTTAATCTATTTAAATTAACATATCAAAGAATGGGACAAATTTACCTTAGCTTCATCAGCCACTTTTTTGATGGGAAAATCCTTTATTATGTATAATTTGTAAAAAACAGCAGCAAAAATGGACAATTTAAGCCACCTCTCTCAAAGCTTTCACAAATTTCCAAATCGTGAACTAAATAAAACTGTGCTCTTTCCCAGGAATTAAACATACTATAACTTGCAATTTGAAATTATATCTATGTAGATTTAATTTAGAATTATTTTACAAGCACATGGTTCTTAAGAGTCATTCTTCAATAAGATTAAGCCACATTGGAAAATGGCTCTCAGCCAAACAAAAGAGTGTAAAAAATGAAATTAGGTATCCATATAGCGGGTTAAATACACCCATCTAATTTTACGTCCTTCCAAATCTCCCCTAAGTTTTCATTAAAAGGGATATAAAAAAATTGGAAAAAATGAGATGACAGTAAGACTTTGTAAGCTGCAAAACAGGTGACTGTGACTTAGCACATCAGAAAAGCTCAATTTATACTGCATCATTCTCAAAAGGCACTGGAACAGGGTCAATGGAGTTGGAAATGAAGAGGATTATGGGAAAGCTATTTAAGAAACACCTCTAAGAGACTGTACCATACCCCTCACTCCCACAGAAGACTAGAAGTTTATTTATGGACAAAATACTAGTATCTGGACTGGGATGTCTTTAGGCATACTAAGTACATGAGAACCGCAGTGAAAATAAATTAAGTGAATTTAGGTATACATAATATTGAATGCAAGGCCCCCGTTCCTCTTCTACTTTTTAATGTTCAATAGGCAAATCCTCAGAATACTGGGAGATTCTTCTTGGGGAATCAGATCAGCCCAAGAGGAAAGATCTAAGATTGACATCAGAAGTTCCCCAATTAAGGGCCTACTAACATCGCCCTAAGTGAAGCTCAAAGTCTGTGTAAGCTGCAACCATGTATGCAGATCTTCTAAAACCCATTTTCTGGCCTTTTCTTCTTAGAGTAGGCAGAAAAGGTTTACCAGTCTTTGGAGGAAAGCTCAGAAGTGATGCAGCAACAGCAAGCAGAAAAAGAGCAACTTGGAGGAAAACAACAGAAAAATTGAAAGCTAACATTAATGAACTCAAAGGAAAAAGAAACTGGTCTGCTACATTGTATGCTTGTTATGTGAATTAGCTCATAAACTAGTAAAAAGGGGACTATACAAATTTTAACATGGAAGTAATGTTGGTTCCTATATGATTTATGAACTTCATCAAGAAATGAAAAACTCTTCACTTAGTTGCTATACTGCCAGCAGGAGTGTTTCAGGTATATTTTTTAAAAATTTAAAACAAGTGCTTACACTCAGGACTTCTTTCCCAGAGAGGTATACCTCATTTTATGCAACTATTGACTGGTGGCAGATTCAACCACCTACCTTGGCCACTAAGTGGCAGCCTTGTGGTTTAGATAGATCTCTACTTCCATGTGTACCTCAGTATCTCCCAACCCTACTCTTAGCATTTTAAGAAACTGTTCTGCTATATTGTATGCTTGATATAAAATAAACTACACTTATTTAAATTATAAATACAATTTGATAAATCTGACATACACATACACCTATGAGGCCATCACCACAATCACGGTAAACATCCATCATCCCCAAAGAGTTCCTCCTGCCTCTTTTATCCCTTTCTAGTCTTCAGCCTCTGACTCTATTATTTTTGAGCGTTTTAAACATCTCTCTGAGTCTCCAACTAGGCTCAGAGAAATTCAAGTGATCCAAATTAGCTCCCCAGGTACCAATTTCTGTTTATTAGTTGTTTTAGTTGCATTGGATTTGAGTGGTCTGTCCCAAACCTAGTTCCCTCATAGGCCCTGTTATTTTTAATGTTTTTGCAAGATCAAAGGTTTTTCAGGAATACATACATCTACATATATGTCAAAGTACTTCCCACAAAATGCTTACTAACTTCAAAGGGGGAAGGAAAAGTAACTGTACAGTGAAGAATCCAAACACCACCTTAATCAAGTGATCAAAATTAACATCAGCTATAATGGAACAAAATGAAATTGTGTCCACCTCACAGGATGCAATGAAATGAACCATCCATCATGGTCTGTAATACTTTTGCCCAAATTACACAACCTGAATCTAGCCATGAGTTAACATCAAAATTAGACACATTCTACAAAGTAAATGGGCAATGTATAATCTTGATTGGATCCTTTTGCTATAAAATATGAAGAGCATCTTTAGGACAAGTGCCAGAACATGAAGGGGTTGTGGGTCAGACGGGAGTAATGGAGCAATGTTAATGTCGTGATGCTGATGTTTGGTTGTATTGTTCTGTATTGTCTATGAACAAATGTCCTTGTTCATAGACAATACACTCTAAAGCTGTGCCGTCCGGTGTGGTAGCAACTAAGTCATCGGTATCTATAAGCACTTAAAATGTAGCTGGGGTGACACACTAAAATAATTTAAATGTAAAAAATGTTATTAAGCCCAGCTGGTGTGGCTCAGTGGTTGAGCATCAATCTATGATCCAGGTGATAGAGGTTTTATTCCCAGTCAGGGCACATGCCTGGGGTTGTGGGCTTGCAGGAGGCAGCCAATCAATGACTCATCATTGATGTTTCTGTCTGTCTGCCTCCTTCTCTCTGAAATCAATAAAGATATATTTTTAAAATGTGATTAAAATGATTTCACATTTTATTTTTTAATATGGACTACTAGAAAATGTAAAATTATGTAGGTAGCTCATATTTCTATTGGATGGCTGTGCAAAGAATTCAGGCTGATCGGAGTGTTAGCAACTTCTTAAATCATTCAGGAAAAAAGATTAGTAGTATGTTGGTAACTTTTCTGCAAGGTTGAAATTATTTCAAAATAAAAATTGTTAATGAGGGACAAAGTATAAAACCACTTTCATAGGTTATTGGGAATAAGGGATTACGGAATTTTAAAGGAGGTTGTGAATGACATTAACATTTACTTTGGGCTTGGCTCATGATGTTGTGAATTTTATGATTTAATCCCCACTCATAGGAATATTGGGAATTATTCCTATGTTTAGGATGTCATGGTGCATTTAAGGAGCTGTCTCCTTAGTAGCATTAACGAATTATACATGAAGTATAATCTATCCTATTTGAGGTTGCCTGCACATGTAACCATTTATGGGTTATTCACTTGGCCTCTTCACCACCAATCTTATTGCCCATCTACCATTAATTGTGAGCTTGGAATGACTCATACAGCAAGTTTCTCCTACTCTTAGCCTTTCTTAGGATAGCACCCTTCTAGATTTGACCACACCTCTTCTCAACATTCTCCAAACAGATCTGGCCTTGCCTTGAGAGCAGAATAAATACAATCTTCCTTTTGACATGGAAATTGAGGTTAAGTAACCTATACGACATTATACAGCTGACATTCAAATCGAGTTCTAATGCATCCTACTCTGGTGTTAAAAGTACAATCCATTTTCTCTCTCGTTATCCTATTTCCTTCATAGAACTTGTCACAATTCATAATTATCGTTTGCTTATGTCTCCCTCAGGAGATGTTAGTTCTGTGAGAGAAGGTATGTTATCTGACCAGTGTTCAATGTTCAGAGCTGTATCCCAGTGCCAGGAACATAAAGTGCTCAAAATACTAATTGGATTTAAAAAGTTAACATTTTCCCAACATGTAAAACTTTTTTTTTTTAACTACAAAACAGTTATTTGCAAAAATACTTTCCTTTTCTTTAGGTATGCTATGTCTAAAAGTGGATATTTTCCCTGATAAGTAAAAATGGCCAATTCTTTAAGAGGAGAAGTACTGAATCTTTATAAAAATGTAAGTAATTCTGTTGCCAACTTTATAAATGTTGTTATATGACATGGCTTGTTTAGAAATATATAATCTTTCTTTTTTAAGCTGCTGTACCTTGGACGGGACTATCCAAAAGGAGCAGACTATTTTAAAAGGCGTCTGAAGAATGTTTTCCTTAAAAACAAAGATGTGAAAGACCCAGAGAAGATCAGAGAACTTATTGGACGGGGCGAATTTGTAATGAAAGAGCTAGAAGCTTTATATTTCCTTAGGAAATACAGAGCTATGAAACAACGCTATTATTCAGATACCAAGGAAACTAACTGATCATTACTATAATTTGACTCAAAACCAGTGCCAGCTATTTATGTATAGCAAATATAAAAGTAATTCTAACTTAAAGTGGCAACATATACATCATGTAAAAAATACTTAAGCTGCCTTACGGAACTAAAACAGATTTCAACTTCTATTCATACTGCGAGCTTTATCAGCCACCTTTTATACACAATTTTATACTAAAATGGCAACTTAGCTACATAATGTTGCCAACTACAAATTATAAATTATTGAGCACCTAATTTCAGATGAAAAAATAATGTACTTAAAACAGTTTTAATAGGTTTTTGCCAATTATTATTAGCCCATTTCTCCATTTAACTGACAATGCCACTTAATTCACATGTAACTAGGCAAAATAATTTCTTGCACATTCTCTTAATTTTTGGAGTACCTTATTTTTTGACCCATTTGGTACAACAGCAAGGTTCACTACAAAACAAATAGCAAGCACCTGGTCGTGATTTTAGTGCAACTGTAGAAATAATAATATATATCAAGATTATTTCTGATCCTGAAATAGCCTACCAGTGATTGGGATTTCATACACACCTATTCAATATTTCCATTATTTTGCTGCTAGCTCCCTTTGGGCCTAAAACAAATCACCTGATGTGTATCAATTACCTTCTTTAATAAAAATAAATAATGTTATTTTTTTGTCATAAAGGCAGATCTGTTTTGCACCTACTCCTAAATGAGTTAACATGACAATGCACTTAAACCTAAGATGGTTTTAAGCTTAAGCAAACACTCAGACCTTTACATAATGTTCACAGCACTTTTCATAAATAAAGAATATTTCTAACTTGTAGCTGCAAAAAGAGATTTACTATTATCATGTCTGTGGCTTATAAACTATTCCGTATCAATTGTTGGGCAAATGTTTCAAATTTCTATCAAGAAATACACACTACCAGAGTCATCATAACTATTTTTATTACATTACAATAATTAGGAGCAGTACAGTTCATGACAAAAATATTACAAATTTCAGATCACTTCACAGCACATACTCCTATAAACATTTAAAAGTTAATTTTAATTAAAAGAGTGGTCATTTTTAAATGTAATGTTTGATATGACCAACATTCCTAGGTCAGCGCAACCAAATGATGGAAAACAACTGGATCACACTGCATATGTCCCACAAAAAAAGCACGATGCACAAAATGTGCATGTTTCAGTTTACACTATACAAAAATAGTTAAAATACATTCCAGGTAAACATGTTACATTAAGAAATAGTACTAGTAAGAAATTGGCACTCAAAGGAAAAATGCAAAAGTATTTTCAACATGAAAACACAAGACAGTGGAACTGGAAACTTTTGGATAAAACATTACATAACCCATTTAACTCTATGGGGAGGGGTTACCCTCTAATTGACATCTCTGCAGGTAATAATTTTATTTTCCCTAAATTCATCTAAATTACCTAGCATCATCCCAAACAGGCACTTAAAACTATTAAACTAAAATAAGTATTAATCTAGTTATAACTATGTTTTAAGAACTGATGAGAATATATCTTTAGAAAGAAATAATTTTATTTTCCGAAGGAATTTGCAGCTACCAGTTGTATGCTGTTCAATTTATCAAAGCAGATTTCATGCTACCCAATATTAACAGAGAAATTATTAAATATAAATTCAGTTGTATAGTAGCTGATAGGTTTTTAAAAATCAGTAATATATAATTATCAAGAAAGTATTACTTTTTGACAAGTGTAAGTGATAGTTTATTGCCTACAAAAAACTGAATGTGTATATATTGTTTAGAAGAAAAAAAAAATCACTGGAATACAAATGAGATGAACTTGTGCAAACTGCAACTTAACATGCCTCATAAGGTTTCTTTATATATTAGGACAAAATTGTGCAATAGTGGCAAAGGTTCTGATAACCTATTAAAGTTAGGTTCTAAATTCCTATGCAGTGTGACTCAGTTAAAATCGAGCCTCAAATGCCTAACTGGGAATATTCACTCGAATTTGACTACATACTTCTGATACACTCTTCCACAAACATGTGCATGTCTAAGACTATGTAATTTAGCACTTTCTTTCAACTTCAACAAGGATTTTTATCTTTAAGGCTGTGATAATGAGATAACATGTTACTTCTAGGATCATCTCTCTTCTTTTAAAATCTCTATGAAAACAAACCTTTCGTCAAATCATTCAAAATTCACATAATAAAGGATAATTACCACTGCATTAAAAAAAAAAGTCCAGCTACATCAAAAATTCAAGAGTCCTAAAAATCCCCTCACTCAATTATACACTTGCTATTCTTGAAGTATGGCCATTTCTTTCTGTAGGGTAGAAATAAGAGGAGGTTCTATATGTCTTACCACCCACCTAGATAATGTTCCATAAACCTGTAGTATAGCATAGCATTTCAGAAATCCTACTGATTTTTATACAGAAATTTTCTGTGAATTAGTTTGGGCATCTATTTAATCATACTGTGATAAATATAACTATTTTAGAATTCAATATTTAATTTTAAAAGTCTATTTTAATTACTTACACAAATAGAACCACCAGAATATTACACACTTGGAAATTTTAATATTATGTCATACAACTTAATGTATATGATAATTGTCCCAATAGAACCACACAATTATGCCAAATTTTTTAAAAAATCAAGTTTACTCCTTTAAAACAATGAAGTAAAAGTGATTTATATAAAGTAGCTTGATTAAACAGTTAAATTGGAATCAGAGCAAAATAATTACTCCAGAAATGGAAGAAACCTTAAGAGACCAACTCCCTTCTCTACAAAACTGGGTCATGTGCCAAATGCCTCACAAAGATACTACAGAACACTCTAGAATATAAACACTATTTTAGCATACAGATTATATCCCTTTTACCATAATATCCTCAGTGCCTGGCATAATGCCTGACATTTAGGAGGCACTCAAATATGCTGAATAAATGAACCATGCTAAAAAACTTTATGAATTAAATTTTAAAGTATTTTTCATTGTAAGATTTTAGTTATTAAAACAAAGCAATGTGTAACTGTTACCAGGGCTAGTCCTAATTATAGATTATCTAAGGAATTCTTTCAGCAGTCCTAATTACAGATTATCTAAGGAATTCTTTCAGCACTACCTTTTATTAAATCATTCTTCCACTGGATAGGGTTCCGTCTACTCATAGCAGGTATGAAAATCGCTACGTAGTCACTAATGGACCAGACAGCAAACATGATATTCAAAGGATCAAGGTTAAATTGCTACAGCCACCACCTCAAAATTAGCCATTAGGTCGAATCCCACCGTAGTATCTCAGATTATGTTGAGCTTGGGGGAAATAAGACATAGGGCATTCGAATGTGACCTGATGGGAAACCTTCAAAGCGATACCCAAAGCAGCAATAAATTTTGAGGTTAAGGGAATTAGACATATTAAAGAAAAAGCATCAAGTCATGGGTCACATAGAAAGGTAGGCAGGCAAGATGACACTAATATGGGAGAAGGGTCTTGAATTTGGAGAAAGGATATTCAAAAATAAATTTCACCTCTTGCACAATTTTGCCTAAGACCGGCACTGAAGATGTTAGCACAGGTAATAAGTTACAGATTATGCTGAGAATGGTAAATAGGTATATTTTAATGTAAACTGAATGTAAATCACATAATTGTAATGCTAGCTATAGCCTTGAGATGACTTAACATGAAGAAATGGATAAGTGATTTGCCTAAAATCGAAGTTGTAAAAGACACCAAAAATCTAAGTTACCTTCCTCCTAGTCCAGTGATATTTTCACCTCAATGTACCATCTCACTTTAAATATCTTAAAATAAGAAACATTTTAAATGCATTGAATCATTTTGTTGATTTATCTATTTTAAAGCATTATTCTTAAAAATGGACCAGACTTGTAAAGTATTTATGAAATGTTACTTTAACAGTGTTAAGAGAACTAGCCATATTAGAGACTTTGAAACTTTTTCCCTTCACTATTTAAAAAAATTAAAGCTTTGCCCTATCCCAATTCTCATTTAAAATATATTTTTTAAGTTCTGTTGTTGTTCTTTTTTTTTTAAAAGTTATGTTCCTGATTTGTCAACAGAACCACCACACAGTGAGAATGTATCTTGCTGAGCTAGCCAAATCTCTCCTACTTCCCATTTTTAACCAACCAATGCTTGACAACACGGGAAGGCCATAGGGATGCACTCCATACTGTGAAACTCAGTGAAGCTCAGGGGTTCTTCACACAGGGCCTGGCCTTCAACTTGTTCTCTTTAACACCTACTAAGCTAACTGACTCAAATAATCTTTAATATCACTACCAGAATTAAAACTTTATTCAAAGACGGAAGTTCAAGAAAAGGTTTAAAGTTATGCTAGGAAGGAGCAATCTGACACAGGGAGACTATAGTTAATTCCTATGAGAATCTTTATACATGTTAAAATTTTTTTCAATTATTACAAAAATTTAGTAGCATGTAAATATAGCCCCCAAATGGTTGCTATAATCCTTATTACATACTGGGTCTGCATTAACAGGAAAAGCTATTAAGAGTATTATAGGAATATCTAATATGGAAAGTAAATGGCGTTTTAATATTTTCCATTGACTTGTCTTTTTTTCCATTTTTTTCCTTTTATAGAAAAAATATAATATTTGGGGAACATGACTATGACAAATAGCAGTGGAAAGAGGAAAAAAGTCTTTGTGAACAGTGTACATTTACATTCATTAAGGGTGACTGAAACTAGAGGACATGATGTCGGCAAGATGAATCTACAGGAAGCTCAGAAATTCATGTTCCCTCAATGTTTTGGTAAAACCAATCATGAAATCTCAACTGAAGTTATAATTAGTAATTAATCCATGTGTGTGATTAGATAAAACACAGAATAAGGAGGATTCAAAAGCTTCATTAATTTGTTTCACACCAAAGTTCACAATTGGTAAGAAAAATAGGAAGTAATCAACTGCATGCACCAAAAACCCCAAGAAAGAAATCTCAGGTATTTAGTTTCTTTTTCACAGGCATTGCTAGTTTCAAAAACAAAAATTCAGGGAATACTGGCACTTAGAGGGGAAAAAGTTTCCACTGTCATTTTAAAATAAGCATTCAAGATAAAAGCTAATAGTTTGGATGGAGCAGGGGAAAAAAATTAGGTAATGGCTAAAGTAAAACAAATGCTAATAATTTAGTGTAATGTACAAAAATTACCACTTTTACTTAAGTATACCTTAAGAAAAAAGTACAAATTGTATTTACATAATTATACACTTTGTCTTTGACTTCTTTTTCTTCTTTTTACCATCTTTGCTCATCTTTTCTTTATGTTTTCGAATTTCTCGAACTAATGTATAGAAGGCATCGTCAACACCCTGAAATATAAAACAAGTATTAAAATGTGAATATATACGATGATTTAAATTGCATAAGTAACAGGAAAGATATATCACTAATGGAAATATTAATACTGAGAAAGAATAAGGACACTTCACATTTCTCTATAGGAAACTGAATATCAGACATTTAAGATTCTTTAATGTCTTCTTCATGGATATTTTGTCAACGTTATAAACAGGAACACTGATTTTAAGAAAAGGAAATGAAAAGCAATGGCGCAGAATCTTACAGAAGCTTCACAAATGACTTTTTCCCTGAACTTAATTTGCTACTAATTTTTACATATTGGCACACCTTGGTAACCAAAATCCAAATGTGTGTATATATGTGATTATGTATTTATACTTAATTATCCCTGAGTTTCTACACATGAATATTAAGCCATGTAAATAAATATACCATTTTCATAAAAATTCACAGAAACAATATTTGAGCTCTGGTTCAATACTTATTTAAATCTATTAGATTTAGACAGTTACCAAGAAGTGAACAGTATTTGAATATACTACCAGTTTTCAAATATTATATACCATATTAAGGCATTAAGTTTCAATTGTACTTAATCATATAAAGTGACCCAATACAAGACACTACTTTGAAAACATAATACTCTGATTTATGGAAAAGGGGGCTAAATCATTTAAATAGTGGTGTAAGTTACCAATTTATAGAAGATTCTATTTTACTTATTGTTTTAGTTTCTGTTTGGTACATTAAGTATTCAAAAATTTGCTATATAAAGACAAATGGTATACCTTTAAAGAAATATCCATTTCGTCATTTTAGCCGACATCTATTTGTGATCAAAGCAATGTATCTAAATCAGTAATGGTTGAAAGTGATTTTAAGTCAGTTATTTTCAACCTAATAATTCATAATGTGAAAAGTGGAACTCTGAATATGGTAGCAGGACAGATTTTAACTGCAATACTAAAATTATACAAGATCAATACAGTCAGTTCTTCTCATGTCCCCATTAAATTACATATAAAAGCAAAATTAAAAAAATTAAAGAAAAATATTATCTTCTATATATTTTAAAATCTATTCAACTGAGTAGTAACTACTTTTAAAAGCCTGTTAAGAGGAGATACAAGATGACAGCAGATTGAGTGGAAGCTACACTGACACTCTCCCAGGACCAAACTGGAATTACAACTAAAATATCAGAAAACCACCCTGGATGATCAACTGCAACTGAAGACCAGCTGGAGAGCACCATCGTAGCCAAGGACAAAAAGTGGAGACCACATAGACTGGTAGGAAGTGTGGAGGCATGAGAGGGCTGGCTGGGCTCCCACAGGCAGCAGCTGAAGGTCCAGAGGGATAGCTCAGCTGTTGGGGGGTTCCCACTGAGCACTCTGGGGTCTAAACCCCAAGCTTGGCTCCCCAGCCCAGAGCACCAGAACTGAGAAAGGGGCCCATATAATACCTGGCTGTGAAAAGCAGCAGGGTTTCTGTCTGCCAGGAAGAGATGGCTGGAAATACAGGCACGCTCTTAAAGGGCCAATACACAAAGTTTTTTGTGCAGCCACTCACCCTGGGCTCCAGCAGAGGGAAGGCAGAGTGGATTAGAGCAGTGTGAGGAGAATCCAGGGGGGCTGGCTGAGGGAATAGATATCAGAGGGCACCCATCTGGACCCTGGTGCTGAGTCATTACCCCATATAGCAGAAGACATCTTAGGCAGACATTTATCTTCCAAGCAGCTTTTCCCTGGAGGGGAAGCAATTGCCCTACCCTACTGGAAAACCACTGGCCCCACCCTGTGAAGTTTCTACAGCCTGAGGCTCCTTAAAAGACTGAATAACAATCAACCTCTGGGTGCTTTGAGTCTTTGCCTGATTTGATTCTAGACCCAAGGCTTGGAAAAGCAGACCTTGGTGCACATCCTGATCCAGTCCAAATACACCCAGCAGCAGCAGAAGAACTGAGAAGCTGTGGAGTGTGGAAAACTTCAAACAGGGTACTCAAGGCCAGTCACAAACAGCATCTGACATTGGCCTGCACCAGAGACCATCCAAAAGACTGGGAGTCCTAGCAGATCTACCTAATACATAGAAACAAATCCAAACAGGCAGTCAAAACGGGGAAACAAAAAAAACAAGCTCCAAATGAAAGAACAAAAGAATCCTCCAGAAGAAGAGCTAAATGAAATGGAGATAAGCAATCTATCAGATGTAGAGTTCAGAATACTGATCAGGATGCTCAACAGCATGAAAAAAGATACAGAAACTATGAAGGAAATTAAGAATGACATAGTAGAAGTGAAAATAAAACAACTTTGGAAGTAATGAACAGCAGATTAGGGAAGCTGAGGATCGGATCAGCAAATTAGAAGACAGGCTAGAAAAAAATCACTCAATCACAGAACCTGAAAGAAAAAACAACTGAAAAACAAAAGAACAATCTAATGGAGCTGTGGGACAATATGAAACGTAACAATATTCACATTACAGGAATACCAGAAGAGGTTGAAAGTAAGCAAGGGATAGAGAACCTGTTTGAAGAAATAATGGCAGAAAACTTCCCTAACCTGGTCAAGGAAAAAGTCACACAAGTTCAGGAGGCACAGAGAGTCCCAAGCAAAAAGAACCCAAAGAGGCCCACGCTCAGACACATCATAATTAAAATGCCAAAAATTCAAGACGAAGAGAGAATCTTAAAGGCAGCAAGAGAAAAGCAAGCTGTTACCTACAAAGGAGCTCCCATAAGGCTGTCAGCTGATTTTTCATCAGAAACTCTACAGGTCGGAAGGGAATGCATGAAGTATTCAAGATAATGCAAAACAAGGATCTGAAACCAAGAATACTCTATCCAGCAAGGCTATCATTCAAATTAGATGGTGAAACAAAGCTTTCCAGACCAAAAAAAAAAGGCTAAAGGAGTTTATTACCGCCAAACCAGCATTGCAGGAAATGTTAAAGAGACTACTATAATAAGAAGCTGAAATAGAGGGAACGAGAAACATAGGCATAAAGAAATAAAATGGCAACAGTTAAGTACCTATCCATAATAACCTTAAATATAAATGAATTAAATGTCACAACCAAAAGACATAGGGTAGCTGAATGGATAAGAAAACAAGACCCAATGCATAACTGGCGGACAGGGACAATGGTGTGGTGAAGGCCTGGGGGGCAGGGGGATGGTGGGTGCGGGGTGGAGGGGATCAATGGGGAAACAAAGGGGGAGATATGTAATACTTTCAACAATAAAGATAAATTAAAAAGAAAAAAAGAACAAAAACAAACCCAAATATACGCTGTCTACAAGAGACCCACCTCAGAACAAAAGACTCACACAGGCGGGGGTTGGGGGGGGACTTCTGGAGGACTTTAAAGGAAAGATCAACAGCAATACAGTCATAGTAGGGGACTTTAACACCCCACTGACTTTACTGGATAGATCTTCCAGACAAAAAAATCAACAAGGAAACAGTGACTCTAAATGACACACTAGATCAGATGGATTTAACTGACATTTATAGAACATTCCACTCCAAAGCTGCAGAACAGGCATTCTCCTCAAGTGCACATGGGACATTCTCAAAGGCAGACCATATGTCAGGACACAAAATAAGTCTCCACAAGTTCAAGAAGACTGAAATCATATCAAGCATCTTCTTGGACATTTACACAATGGAATACTATGCAGCTGTAAAAACAAAGGATTCCTTACCCTTTGAGACAGCATGGAGGGACCTGGAGAGTATTATGCTAAGGGAAATAAGCCAGCCAGAGAAAGATGTGTCACATGATCTTACCCATATGTGGACTCTAATGAACAAAATAAACCAATGAATAAAATAAACCGATGAACAAAATAGATCCAAAGACACAGAATCATGGAACAGACTGATGAATCTGAGAGGGAAGGCGAATCTGACAGGGAAGGAGTGGGTGGGGAGAAATTAACATAAGATTTTATATGCATATATGTATGACCCATGGACACAGACGACAGTGGGGTGAAGCCGTGGGGGGAGGGGTACAAGGTAGAGAGGATCAATGGGGGAAACACAGGGACATCTGTAATACTTTCAACAATAAAGGTAAATTTTTAAAAATATAAAAGAATTAAAATTAAATAAAAAGCCTGTTAACGTAACAGGCTTTTAAACCTAAACGCTAGAGGGAATCTTAGGAACCAATACTCAACAAATAAAGTTGTATAAATCAAGTTAGCTTAAGAACAATGAACACTGGATTTTTACTCATTTTAACCACCTCTGTTGATATTCATATGCACATTTGTTAAGTTATCTTGAAAATAATTTAAAATTTAAGTGATATGATTTCTCCTTTATTGTATTACTAAAATCTTCCAAAATAAATATTTCAAAATAATAGCAAAACTAAATCAGAGCATTTTCAAGTTTCATTTATCTAATTTTTACAACAGATCTAAAATTCAGAGGAATATTACCAACATTTTTTAAGTGAACACAGAATAGTAATAAGAGGCTTGCTCACATTTAAACAAATAGTAAGATAAAAACCAGCATTATTGATATGAATACTAGTGAATAAAAAAGTTCCCCAATGAAGTCCCCAAGCTGCACTCATTGAGTGCTCCCCACTTTCTGAAATCATTACTGATACAGCATATGCTTTTGTTTCACCCAAAGCAGTGAGGAAAAGTGGTAAGACATAATTTATCAGCAATACAATCAAGGCTTAATATATATAAACCTTCATGCTAATCTTCTTAACAAATAAAAAGCAAAAAACTTACAATGATATAATAAAGAATAATTTTATAGCTCAACAACCCTTGGCTAATTTATAATCATAAACCTTTAGAATGGAATACTTAGAAGAGTCTCTAATCCACCTCACTTAACCTTCACAAACTCTCTTCGATCACATATCCATACATAGTCTACTCCATTTCAACTTTTATAATGAAGAAAAATGTCAATGAAGAAAAACAGTGCAGCAAATGAAATGAAAAACCACAAGATGGATATAAAGA